TTTATTTTGAGCATGGAAATAAAATTTGCAAGACTGGCAAATAGACTCATCAGTTAGTGGTAATCCTCCAGATTGTCAATAACTTTCTAGTAGTGGATTTCTTTTTTTTTTATCCCTCTTTGGGCTGGCATTTTTTATTTCTATATGAGAATGTTATTGACCCTGACCAAGATATCATTTCTTTGGTGGTGGTTTACGTATGAAAGAACATTGGTCTTTCTTTCTACCCCCTTTAGCATTCCTTTGGCTGGAGATTTCCAATGAGCAACAGAAACACATTCAAGTTGTTTTAACGTGTTCTTAGTTTTCTTTGACATGCAGATCTCCCATTATTCCTCAAGTTGGTTGTTGTTGTATTATTACTTTTGGAGTTAGAGGTATGGGTGATGCAGATGTCAGTACCATGGAACCCGCGGTGTCACGGAATCCTACTAAAATGCGGGATCGCAAACAGGCACGACCTCGAATTGGGGGCAGAGGGGCCTTGGATCTCCAATTTTAGCATATTTTCTTCCCATTTTTTAAATATTTCCTATTTATTTATTTTCAATTAGAAATTTTCTATTAGCAGACTTTTATATATGTATTGGACGGTTTGGATTCCAGTTTTTGTTGAGTTTATGATTTTGAGACTTTTATCTCTGAATTTTGCTCTCCGAAGTGATGCATCCTTTCATTTTGCAAGTGATTTGTCTGTATCTTGCTCAAGAAACAAATGGTAGAACCTCCTCGTCACCCATATATCACCGTATCATCATACAACCTGCTGTTTTCGGCCACAAAAGTCGTCAAACTCACATCTACCTGCTATTTGGAAGTAGAAATTCGCCATCTTCTACTTCTGGGTTGCTTTCCTGCCGCCAATCAATGCTAAACTGTTGTCCAGCAACAGATTCCGCCTTGCACCTCTTCCAAATACCGTTGCCCTCTCAGATTTTTGTTCCCTTGTCATTCCACAACAACCTCCTTGCATAACTCGCTTCCTGAATACCTTCTAGAAGCCTAGACCCTCAACGAGATGTCTAGTAACTTAGTATGAAAGATATGCAGCAAGAAACTTTCCAACTATAGCAAAGGCTTTCCACTTTTGAGATGAGACAATCAGGTGAGGTCATTCATAGCCCCAATAGTGACTCTTCAAACCGAGAGAAGGAAGTGAATCCCTTCCACCAAATAGTTTCTAGAGATTCCATGGGTGAAAAACCACTATCATAACGATTAGACTTGAAATATCAAAGGAAAAGCCAGGATAGTGAAACTGGAGTTATCGGATTTTGACGGTCGAATGGATCCAGATGATAATGGAGTAGTACAAGTATGTTTCTCAGGACAATAGAATTGACAGTCATCAAGCTAAAAAAAAACGTTTCATTATGGTGAGAGAATCTGAAGCATCTTGGAAAGCGGAAAAGGGAGTAAAATTACTATGTTGTCCAAAATAAAATGAGAAATGCAGCTCATGTATTTGCCAACACATTATATACAAAACATATTCTTAAGGCTACATCAATTACAGTAGCAAGAACTCTCGTTAAAGGAGTACACTAAGTTTGATGAGCTTATATTAAAATGTGGGCTAGGGGAGCTCGAAGAGGACACACTATCTCAATATTTAAGAGAATTGAGATCTTCCATTGACAACATGGCAGAGTTACAATTCCATTGGACATTACATGATATTCAGACCCTAGCTTCAATGTAAAGAACCATCACCGGATGACCGCCACACCTTACATGCATAATTCAACCTTAGGATCAAGAGACAAGAGAACACTCAGTAGAGCATCCCAACCGACCCAGCCCAAGAAAAAACCAATTCAAAGTGATAAAAATTGAATACCTCCAACACTCTCAAATCCATCTCAACAAAAAAATGTCTCAAGCGCCACGATTTTGGGCACATTGCATTAGATTCCAAACAAGAGGATGATTACTATCACCGAGAATTGAGTAGTTAATAAAATGGCCAGTGACACGGGAGAGAGCAAAAGCTTTAAAAAGGGTCTCAACTTTCAGCTGATGAGAATAGTAATTAAAATTGAGCCCATGAGAGAGACTACAATCGGATTATTGTTCTAGAAGGCAGTGAGTTTGAGAAGCCCATACCAGAAAATGGACAGTCCTTGTGAAGGAATTGTCAAAGATCATGACTGACAATTTAACTATTGAGTGGTTGTCACTAGAAGTAATCCAACATGTTATAGCTTTCATTCCAAAGTTAGTTCTTTCATACATGCTTGTTTATTCTATGAGACCAACCGAGTATGAGAAATGGGAGAAGCAAGTTATAGATGTAGCAGTTCAAGAATTGGTTCATGAGAAGACCGGTTTATGTGCAACTCTAACACAGGTTGTGCTAAAAAAAATGGTAATTTATTCAATCAAGTATAATTTGGAAGAGGAAATTGCTTGAAATGGATGTGACGGCAGATTTGCAATGGGACTGACTCAGACACAACAAGATCATAACTTTGTTATGATGATGATAGATCAATTCCAGAAGCTTACTGTAAAGTAGATGAAGCTCCTCCTACCTAGAGAAAATGACGTGGATGTCAATACCATAGAAACTGTAGTGGCGTGGATCCCGCTGAAATGCAAGACCACGAATAAGCGCGATCTCGAGCTCAAAAAGATGGGTGTCAGATCTCCTATTTTAGCATATTTTCGTCCCTTTTTTATTTCTTATTTGTTTATTTTCAATTACATATTTTCTATTATCGGACTTCAATATATGTGTATTGGACTATTTGGATTACAATTTTTTTTTTAGTATATGAATTTGAGAGTTTTCTCTTTGAATGTTGCTCTTTAGAGTGTTGTATCATTTCCTTATGAAAATGGTGTGTCTGTATCTTGCTTATGAATAGGTGGTGGAACCTCCTCGCCGCTCGTATCTCACCATATCGTCATCCAACCTGCTATTTTCTTCCAGGAAAGCTGTTGAACTCGCGTCTACCCGCTGTTTAGCTGCATAAACCAGCTATCTTCTGCTTCCGAGTCACCGCCACACTGCCTGTCAACGCCGAACTGCAGTCCAGCAGCAGATTTCACCTTATAACCCTTCCAAATAACGTCGACCTCGCAGATAATTGTTCTCTTGTCATTCCACAACCACCTCCAATACCTTCTAGAAGCGTAGATAGGTATCAATGGGGGAAGACAGCTCATTCAGTGCACAAAACTGCTATTCGAGACCATATATTCTCTATATTTGCAAAATATGCGGAATTGAAACCTATTGATTTTCTAAGAACATATAGCCAAATGAGCTCTAAACTACAAACCAATATGAATGGAATCCCAACAAGCTGCAATAAAACCAGCCAAGAGCTTTCCAAGCCATGGTTACAGAATGACTGAAGTTCATTAAATTAAAAAAAAATGGAAACCAAAACCATTAAGCAACAATTGAAGCACATCAGTAAACTCAATGATTAAGGAATTAAAGTGAGAAACCATGATGCCTCTATTTTAAGCAAAATGAAAGGGATTTCAACAACCTGCAATAAAACCACCCAAGAGCTTTCCTAGCCATGGAAACAGAGTAACTCATTGAATAAAAAAAGTAGATATGAAAACCATTAAGTGACATTTGAAGCAGAACAGTAAATTCAAAACGATAATGGACTAAGAGTGGCAAATCATGATGCACTTTAACTTGCTTCCAATATAGATTTCTTCTTTCATTCATTAGCATTGATTCATTTGCAAAGCTGATGTTATATAGTAAATTCAAGCTCACTCAGAAACATGGTATTCATTTCTTCAGCAGTGAACTAGATTATATATTCAAGTAATTAAGGATATAGCAAAAAGAGCAAAAGCATGCACCAAATTTATGTTCCTTAAGATCCACTGGAATACTATAAGCAAAAAAATTATGCCCATGGAAAATTTGTAAAATCAGTGCTCGGAGGGAATAGAAGTAAGAAGCAAATTATATGCGTCTAAAACAAGAAGGATAAAAAATATGAAATAGAAAAAAAGCTACAGCAAAAAAACACAGCTTTTCCAACTTTTATCTTGTTCAAGCATCTTGAAAAACAGATTCAAACTTGCCTGTAATGTTAGAAATTGGAAATAATTTTTACTAAGGGGCAGTTTCATATCCCTTTTTTAGGCAGAATTTAAACAAAATTTAGCTTAAATATTGGCAAAAAAATTTTAGACACTTTAAATCCTGCTATTCCAGCCTCGTTATTGGTTGAATTCAGGATAGAAACGCTACCATTTACGGGATTTAACGGATATAAGGATTTCTCCTCCCAGAATTCTTAAATACTTAAATAAATAGCTTAAAAATTATGCAGAATTTCACAGTTATCATGCCGATAGTTTTCATGTTCTAATCCTCTTAAGATTTACGGATTTAAGGACTTCTCCTCTGCAGTAGTTTTCAGGATTTAGTCCTCTCAGGCTTTACTAAATCCCAATCGTAGTAAAACAACCCCAAAAAATCAAAACCTGCAACAGCAAGCTTCTCATGAAAATTTCATAACATCAATTAAAGAAAAAAAATGAAACAAAAATTCTCTGACTATGACGTACTTTATCTGCATATTCCAAGCTGACAGATTCACATATCTAGCAAAGGCTCCTTCACAGGAAATAAATTTAACCATAACTCCAAATTTAAAGCTGATAAAAAATTAGAAATAGCAAATTTCAATTCTGTCTCTTTTCATGTTTTAAATGAATTTGAAATGGCTAGAAAAGGTTCATCAACCGTACTAAACCTTTGATCCAACAGATATCCCAAGAACCAATTACTGAAACTACGCTCTCTTCGAGGAGGACAAAGAAACGAACAAACGAACACTCAAATTATAAAATTAACAAAACCTAATCCCCATAATCTCCCAATTTATTCAAGGGATTCATCAATCAAGACACCTTAAACGGCAGCCCTAATGCCCGAGAAACCACATATCAATCCAAAAACCAAAAGAAAGATGATAAACAAAGAAAACAAAACAAAAGAGCCCCAAAAAACTCACTGCCATGGTACGCGCTGAATTCCAGGGCAGAAGTCAAACTTTCGCCTTTCCAGCAGAGAAGAAAGCCCTCCTACAAGACGGTGAAGGAACACAAGGCGAATAGAACCCGCATTGATGAGCGTCAACTATTCTAGATTTTACCACGTAAATAAGCTAGCAAGCGCACAAAAACCGCAAGTCTGCCGCGCTTCTTCCCCTCCCTCCCTCCCTCTCTCTCTCCCTCTCTTTTATAGAGCTTTTCACTAGTCCTTTTTTCAAGTTATTGCTCTTGCATGAGATTTTTCCCCAACAGGAAAAACCACATTGTTACAGTTTATATTTAGAATACGTGCATTTTGGAACCATGCTTCATTATATGCAAGTGCTTTGCTTCTTTGAGGATGATAATCATGAAAAACCATTCTTTCAAAATTTTGCGCATTCTACTAGCTTAGTTCCCCATTCTAGTTTCATTGCTGCTGTTATAATCTTCATTTGTTAAGTTGCTTAATTTTAGTTGTACTTCAGTTATGTAATGTTTAACTACTACATCTGCCTGTCTGGTCTATACATCTTCCAAATTATTATTAATCTGAATGCAATCCACCTCTTGGGAACTGACTGTGTTTAGCACTCATATTTTACTGTCCATACATCATAGGGAACAGCATGGCCAGCATCTTAGTCAGCTAAATCGGTATGGCACTATTGCCTGTTCCTTTCTACACACTACATTGAAGCGGTAAAGGAAAGCATCGCTGCATTGTTGTCCAGGATGCATGTTTCCGGTGCTAATGAAGGTATTTCTTTAATAGAAAAACGTAATCAAAGAATGGATCCCAAGCACATAAATGCAGATGGTTTACAACGACGCCATCAGCTGACTGCCATGAGGGTTGTAAGGGGCATATCATGCTTAATGACTTTACTTACAACTGCGTGTATGACATTAATCTACTGTGCACCTATATTTACTCTTCTCCTGAGGCTTTTTAGCATACATTACAGTCGAAAATCAGTAGCATTGTTGTTTGGTGCATGGCTGTCTATGTGGCCATTTCTATTTGAGAAGCTAAACAACACTAAAGTGGTTTTTTCTGGGGATCGCGTGCCTTTGAAGGAGCGAGCGCTGCTCTTTGCCAACCATAGAACAGAAGTCGACTGGATGTACCTGTGGGATCTTGCATTGAGGAAGGGTTGCTTGGGGTCTATTAAGTATGTCTTAAAGAGAAGCTTGATGAAATTGCCTGTGTTTGGCTGGGGATTTCAGGTTCTGGAGTTTATTTCAGTCGAGAGGAAATGGGAAGTTGATGAGACATTGATGCAAAGGAAGCTTTCAACTTTTAAAGACCCAAGAGATTCTCTTTGGCTTGCAGTTTTCCCAGAGGGCACTGATTACACGTAAAATTCACTCTTCTAATATTACATTTGCATAGTATTGATAAAGTAACAGTTTTTTTATTTACGTAAACATAGAGGCTGTCTTACGATTTAAAACCTCTTACTTACAGAGAACGCCACCCCCCAACCCCCACCCACAAAAAAAATAAAAAAAAATAAAAAAAAAATCCACATACCTAGTTGTGTTATGTTTCATTGAGTGAAGTGCTTTTTATTTTTCATATAGCCATCGCAGATAACATTTGTTATCATGTCACATTTATTCTTCAAAATTTCACCCGCTTTCTGCTGACGTTTGTCTCAGAGAACAGAAATGCATAATAAGTCAAAAGTACGCAGCAGAAAATAGCTTACCAATTCTTGAAAACGTGCTTCTTCCAAAAACCAAGGGCTTTTATGCTTGTTTGGAAGCTCTGAGAGAGTCCCTGGATGCTGGTTAGTTCATTGTCTTTGTGTCTTTGAAGCTTACATTTCAGTTTCAATAATTAGTAATCATTCTGTTGATTTTCTTTGAGTAATCTCTACAATTTAATAACGCTTGCAACATTATATGCTTTGTTGTTTCAATGCTAATCTGAAAGTGTTAAGGCTGATATTTTGGATTAATTCACTAATCAAGTCTTCCTTGATTTTATCATGAAGGTTGGCTTGCATTTTTTTTATTTGTTGTGATCCTTAATTTTTCACACATAAATATGAACCTTAAGGTATGAAACCTAGGAGATTTATTTTGTAATAAGCTTATAAAATGAGTACCGTCCCTCTAAAAAATGGCCATTATACTGATCTTTTGGAACACAAACATAGGAAGTATTTTATTTTTTACTTTTATTTGTAATTGAAAGAATTATAATTTATGTATTGAAAGAATGATATCTGATTTTAGTGGTTCATAGTCATTCTCAAATGACTGACGCAAATGTGAGGGGACTAAGATTTAGGTGTCCTATTTTTGTAAGGTGTGAAAGAGCCAATGCAAGTGTTTAACGGGTTGAGAATATTAGACAGGGTCAGTGGATTGGAAATATGATGATGTAGATCAAATATATGTTCGAGCTTTAAAAAATTTATTTTGGTTGAGTGCATGGGATATTTATGAGTAAAATTTAAATGGTTGAGTGCATGGGATATTTAGATGGAGAAACTTAAAAGATACAAATAAAATTAAATTTATGAGTAAAATTCAAGATTTCAAAATTTGGGATATTCATGAAGAAGCAAATGTGATGTGGGATAAAGTAACAAACACTATTAAACATGTAGCAAAAGATGTTCTTGGAGAATCAAAGGGAAAAATATTTACAAATAAAAATAGTTGGTGGTAAAATAATAATGTGCAAGAAAAGATAAAATATAAGAAGTTATGTTATAAAAATTGGTTTAAATGTAAAAGCTTAGAGAACTGGAGAAAATATCAAACGGCTCGCAGGGAGTCTAAAAGAACAATCTGTGATGCTAAAAATTCTGCTTTTAATGATCTTTATAATAGATTAGATACTAAGGAGGGTGAAAAATATATGTATAAACTAGCCAAACAAAGAGAAAAGAAAAGTAAAGATTTAACTCAAGTAAAGTGTATTAAAGATGAAAATCAAAAAGTACTTTTCTTAGAAAAAGATATTCAACATAGGTGGGTGAGTTACTTTGATAAACTTTTTAATGAAGTTTCTGAAAATACGATCGAACTTAGTGATTTTAATATCGTAAATAATAATAAAACGTTTCATTTTTACCGTCGCATTAGCAAAAAAGAAGTTGAGGAGGCTTTAAAGAAAACCAA